AAAGTTTATCTATTTTGATTTCAAAAAGTCAAGTGGAAGAAATAGAGTAAGAAGGTGGGAATATTTTATATCAAATGAATAACCCACAATAAAACATACTTCAATTCCTCTGGTTTTAAAAATCTTTCTTGTTTTGATTTTTTTATTAAACAGTGACACTCCTTGACTAAAATTGTTAGAAAAATATATTTAATTATAATATAAATTTAATATAATTATACTCATCTTAGGATTTAGTTTTGGTATATCAAATTTTTATATCATTTACCTATTTAAATTAAGTTTAGTTTGTGGTCAAAGACTATCACTATTTGAAATCAAAACCGAAAATGTATTTAGGACCTAATGAAATAATACCTCCGTCCCGCTATATTCGTCCATTTTTTATTTTTGGAACTATTCATCTAAGCACTTCGACTCATCAAATTCTCTCAATGTGTAAGCCTAAATATAGTCATGTGTGATCTTGTTTGATTTGTCTTAACATATAGATTATTAATATATAATTTTTATAATTTTTTAATATACAAATCACAAGATAAAATGGATTAAAGAAGTGTATTGAATGATATGTAAAAATGAAAGTGAACAAATACTCTGGGACAGAAGGAGTAATAAATTTGACTAGTTTATTTTGAGACGGTAGTACGGAGTATTGAGTTGGTTGAACCGTATTCCATGCACTAACACATTTTACGGAGCAATTAAATATGTTTTTTTCTGTTTTTTTCTGTTTAATATGTTTTCCATGCAAGGAATATGTATTTTTTTTATTCCTTTTTTTGTAAAAAAAAATGCTTGAAGTAAGTGTTTGCTTATCTTTCTCATATAAAAATCCACTAAAAATTATGTAGATCTACTATAACATTTACCTTAATTGTTACTCTCTTGATCCCAATTTAAATCGTTTGTTTCAGTTTACAATGTTTGACTTAAGTTATTTTTAAATCATTTTATATAAAAAAGGTTATAGAACTAAATAAAATAAAAAATACATATTAAAAAAAACTACATCAAAAGATCTACAAAACTAATGATAATATGATTATATTATTTTATCAACTGACTAACAAAAATAGAAAAAGAAGATTAGTGAAATTTGATCATGTTAATAATAAACGTGCAATTTCATTTAGAAAGGTGGAATTAGAATGTATATTCACATTAGGCAGAATCTTGGACTATTTAGCAACTCCTCTATGGCTGTATGATGTTTGGTTAAACTCCTTGGTAGATGAGACTGATATTGTTTTTACAAAAAACATACTCCCTCCGAGTCAAAATTTTTGTCACATTATACAAAATGAAGTAAAATTATATGTTTTTTTAAATTTATTTGTTTGAAGATGGTATAAAATTTAGAAGAAAAATTTATATTCTTAAAAAATTTGTTAAAAGTTGTTCAAAATAAGATATGACAAGAATATATTTCATTTTATCAAATAATCGATGAAAACGCACAAAACGCAAAAATACTCTAATTTTTTATGAGTTGTGACATTTTTTGGATAGAAGGATTATGATTAATACTCCTTCTGTCCGAAAAATATTTGCTACATTTACTTTTTCAACAGTACGTAAACTTTTGTTTATTTGTACGTTTTTATTGATTATTTGATAAATAAAAATATTTTTGACACCACTTATTTTGAAGAATTTTTCATGTAGTTTTTAAATATGTAAATTTTATTTTTTATTTCTATACCACTATTTAAATAAAATAAATTAAAAAAATTTAATATTTTACCTCGTTATTTGAAATGTGGTAAACATTTAGGGAGGTACAATGTTTCCACCCTCGAAACATAAATTACTCCATAATTATCCTTGTCAAAAACATCCTATCCCAAATATTTATTCTCTCATTCATATTGTTTTTTCTTCGTTTGACTTATTAGTTTAGATAAATGAAATTTATGTTGCGTTCAGTTCTCCTGATCTGATCTGATTTTATGAAGTTCAAAGCTGATTTAGTCTGATCTAATCTCATCTGATTTGATTGGATTGAATCTGATCTGATCTTAATGAATCTGATCAAATATTATCTGATCTTATTGATTCTGATCTAAATCAGATACAAATTAAAGTTAAAATTATTACCATTATTTAATAAATTGTAAAAATTATAATGGTCATTCATACTATAATACAATCAATAACTTTTATTCAGGAATTATTAGATTTATGAAATAAAATAATCAATTCATATATAAATTAAAATAAAAAATAGTTGACAATAACCAATAATTAAAAAATTTAATCATTTACTTTTTATGCACTTATCTTCTCTATATTTAATATGTTATTGTCCCATTTTGAATCAATCAAGACAATTTCTCAAATATTTTTATAGGTTTTTGTTTTAAATTGTAAAAATGCACAAAAGTTATGTCTTTTGTAAAAAGAATACAAGTTGAGTCAAAAGTTGTACAAAAGAGGGTGAAAGTTGTAACGTGCATAGCATCAAGAGGATTGAGGTCAAACTAGAATAAAATTATTTCAAGATAATGATCACAAGTCAAAAAGAGATTGAATTGGGTCTTGAAGCAAAAAGAATTGAAGAAATGGTGAAAAATGAAGTTTTGGGCCGAAAAGCAATCTAGGCCCCAGACAGGCTCCCGCCCGTCAGATGTCTGGACCTCTGACGAATGCATATCGCAAATTCAATCACGGAAAATCAAGAATCACGGAAAATCAAGAATTCGTCATCCATTCCTAATCACCTCCTCTCTGGGTCTTTAAGACTCGGAACTCCATTCTTTGTTCTTTTCTTATTTATATTTTAATATTTTAGTATAATTTTGTTCTGATTGTCCCATGGTGGCTCCGACTCTTCTCTCTGTTGTAAGTTTCAATATTTACAATTTTAATAAAATGTTTCTTACTTCATTCTCTATTAATATCTAGTATGGGTTAGGGCCCAAATTAAGGTTCAGGCTAAATAAATTTGGGCATATGCTTTGTATGTTTAATTTATAGTTTGAAATATTTGTGACAAAAGTATTATTAATCCAATTATTGATTAAGTATATGACAACAGTAGTTAACCCAAATGATGCCTTGACATGAAGTCTAGTCCTATACCTGTACTTTTTTTTTTTCAAAAAGCACTCAGTAGTGTATATAGTTTATTTTTCTTTTCAATTCAAATCGAGAAGACTTTCATACCTTCACCTAGTTAGAAAGAATTAACCAATTCCCTTCGTCCACTCCTCAAGAGACACGACACTCGGAGAAAACTGACCCTTTTAGGGAAGGTTGACTATCGCTTAAAACCCAACCATCACTTACACGTAAAACACATCAACTAATCCACAAAAGGCTTTTTCAATGCCTTCCAAAGTACGCACATACGCCAACACACAACGCACATAAACCAATCAACAAATGACTGCTTTTGGTGCCTTATTTAGTCTTTATTTTGTTGTCTTGTTGCTTGTTTCCCTCCTCCACAATATTGATCCTCTTCAACAAGTCAGGAATATTTTGTATCAATCTATCACACATTGAAGGATCAACTCACTCCCTACTCTTGCATTTACGTCATCCTTATACACAGTTAACATTATATTCATAAATCTAACCATATCAAATACAATTGACATTTACACAACCTTGAAGGTAAACATGACTCGCTTTTTCATTACACTTCAAAAATCTTCTTCCCGAATTGTTGTCAGTCCATGCAGTCATAATTCTCATTTTATTTCCAGAATTACATGTGGAAACTTCTAACCAATCACCAAAATGTTCAATTCTTTTAGATGAGGCCGACGATGAATGATTCCCATAGCTATCAAACCCAAACAGATTAAATTTTATTTAAAAAAGCTAGGGTTGTAAAACAAAATAAAAAAAGATACCAAGTTTGCAAAGCATAGAAAAAAGCTAAGGTTGAAAACAAAAGAAAAAAAATTTAATAATAACAGGTAGTGTTGCAACGAAGTTCATAAATTTCAACTTTATTCTCTATCGAAAAACCATTCTTGAAATTAACAAAAATAAATTCAAATAATTCACTTAAGCTTTACATTACAAATTGAAATAAAGAAACGGAGACTGTTAGAATTACAAGAAAATACCTTCGCTGGCCCATTGTCATGTGCGAGTCCATAGCCCCAATTCTTCGATGGTCTTGCCCTAGCTCTCAATCGGCGTGTTGGATTTGCGTAAAGTTGACCAAAGCTGTGTATATATGGCGTCAATAAGAGTGTAGAGTGAAAGTACGTTATTAGCCCTTTGCATAACAGGGCTGGAACGGGAAGAATAACGGAGGACCATTTGTTGAATTTTACCCAAACAATAAAGACTAAAAACTTAACAATTGGTAAACGAGGACTAAATATGAAAACTCCACAATTATAAAAGACTATTTAAAGAATTTACTCTTAAATGTAGTTAATATTTGCCGAGTATGTACTATCCAATTTTCATTACTCTGTATTATGCAAATAACTACATTTAGACATAAAATTAACCATATCATTATTTAAATCCAAAACAAAAAAAAATATCGGAGTGGAATCGTCACTGCAGACTGCCGACACGGGGGGCGGTTCTGGAACCGTACCGGAACCGTACCATGTCCTTGTCTAGTAGCTATTTACACATGCTTAACTGTAGAGTCGCAATATTCATGCCTTTTGAGCTGATGCACGTAAAGCCTAAAGAAAGGAGTCTTGTAAAAATAAAATGAGCATATTTTGTGGATTTAGTTGTTGCCGTCATCCCTTTTTTATGTATAATTTTAATCCCTTATGATCAGACATGAAAGGCTTAGACCATATGTTGTTTTACACACAAAAAACCATTGCCTTTTTTGGGCAATGCCGTGCCAAGCGAGTAATAAATGGACTAGAGAATTTGGTAAACAAGAGGGTAAAATAAGTATAAAAAACAGATGAAAAAAACACAAATAAAAAGGGGAAACCAATTAATTAAGAGCAAAGATAGAAATTGGGATAAACTAATGTTTTACCAATGGCTAAACAAATATAGCAATATAATTAAATAATTCATTGTCATGTTCATCATCACTGCTTGAACAAAATAATGGACAACAAAGACAAGTTATTTTTGCTACAAAGCATTTGCTTCAAAACCACTAAAAAACACCCTCTACAATGAACTAAAAATAGCAATATATATCACACTATAATACTTTGCCAACACCACAAATAAATCCAATGAATCTAGAGTTTGCAAGAACCCACGAGAAACTCCGACCCGCAAAACCGACCGAATGACCGACCATTTAAATTTAACGACCAACGAAACTGTATAAAGAAAACAACTTATGTAGTTGCGTTTTCTCGGACAACGACCATTATGTAGTTACCATTTTGTAAAAGCCACCGTGAACTCGGCCCGATCTCCGTTGTCATCTACATGGTGTATGGTATGTGGGCCCAGGCACGACGGCGACCAAAAGACCGAAACGCCCTCCACATCATCGTCAGCATTTATAATGGCCAGTCTTGGGACGCTTCATTCCACTATTGTTGAAAGGGGACACGCTGCCACTTGGCCCGGGACTCCCTTCCCGGGAATTAGAATTCAGCAATGCTAATTCTCGCAATTGCTGTCTCTTTATATAATCTTGTGATTCGTCCTACAAAGCACAGTTTATGGGGAGCACACTTTTGAGCTCTATGAAATTGCATGATAATTAAAAGAAGGCAAAGGAAAGGGGGAAAAAAATACTTACCACGGGCTTTAGCAATTCTGCAATAATCTCTTGAGCTTGTCTGAGTCTAATGTCAATGATGTTGGCAGGTAAATCGGCCTCAATCAAAATATGGAGTGGTTCATTCAGATGTTCATAACCTGGTCGCCCTCGTAATTTTTCCTCCTACACGTTACATTTCACACACAATTCATCATTGCCCAAAGTGAGGATGAATGAAACACCAAACAAAAAAAAGCTAGCTTTTTTAATGGATACAAATACTTGCCCGTATCACAGAACATTGCCCAAACCAAAAGAGTTTAAAAAAAAGGTACTGTAATATTCTAAATTTATAAAAAAAACTTTGGTGGACTGGTGAACAGAGTGATTAGAATGGCTACCTTGTCGGGGTCTTTTATAGAACCTTTTCCTCTAATATATACACGGCAGCCTGTAGTGACTTCCACACGCTTCAGAGAATTTCCTCTGGGTCCAAGAAGTCGTCCTACGAAATTGAACTATAATCCACAGAGTTTATTCAGTAACTAATAAGTCATGAATTCCATTTTCACAACCAAAAAAATAAAGAGGAAAAATGGGACTTACATTTGGGTAAGTATCAACTGGGATGTCTAATCGCAATATCTTTTTCATGGTATATGAACTAGGACTTGCCGGTGCCCCTTGCCAATCCATTGACATTCCAGGAGGTCCACTTAACCTCTGCCACATGTTCAAACAGAATGCCATGTTACATGAATGAAGGATACAAAAAGAACACTCATAATAAAGGACTACCCTTAACCCATAATTCAGCACATTCTCTTAACCAGTTAAGAGGCAAATGCATCGTCCTTCTGAACATTATTATACCGAGCTAATATAAGTGATTAGTGAGACGGTTAAGGCTGAAGCACGAAAACAAAGATATTTTCTTTTTGTTGAACTTGAATCTATTCAAATGTTTCCTTCTAATTCTCCTCTCCTTTTCCCTGCATATTTTCATTCCCTACCATTTGCTAGATTCCAAACAGGGTATTATAGAAGTTTTATAAGGAAAAATAAGCTATCAGTATCCCTTTATCCATTCAACTCTCTGAAGTCTAAACCCATAAATGGCCCACTCTAAGGCCATGTTCTCTTCAACTTATTATTACTTATTACTTTATCTTATTGGAACGAGACCAAATCAGATCAGAAACAACTTTAAATATAACTACATTCAGATCAGACCAAATCAGATCGTATTCCAATCAGATAAGAACCATTTAGATCAGGTGAAGAGAACATGACCTAATTCAATGCTCCAGCTTTGATCTAAGCAGTCTCTTTGTTCTTCTCATTACAAGTAACCATAATTTAGGTGTTCACAAACATAAGAATGAAGCAATAAACATTTGTAAAATCAAGATTAAAATAATACAGTGGCTAGAATACCCATGATAAAGTTTTAAAAAACCATGTACTCTGAAACTTTTATGAATGGAGAGAATGGTAATGAAAAAAGTATATCTAAAGCAACAAGTACAAAAGAACAGAGGGAATAACTCACATTCATGCAATAGAGTAACCAAACAAAAAAATTATACAATATCTTGAAAATTTCATACAAAATATTGAAAGCTATATATAACTATACCAAAGGCAAGACAAGCAGTTTGCTTCATGTTTATAATAACCCAATTGTCATAACAAAGAATATCTCAAAACCAAACTAAAAGGTCATGGGAAATAATAATGAACCGGAGGGCATTGAGAATTTGAGAAGGTCAAAGTAGAAGATTATAACTCAAGTGTAATTTAGAATTCTGCTAGTCGTCTATCCAAAAAACAAGAAACATATTGATTTCTCCTAATGGATTTAAAGATGGAGCAAGAGAGCAAATAGTCTAGAGAGAGAAAGAGTGGTCTCATTGAGTGATTACATATCAGATCCCTGCTAGGAAGGGCCGAAGGGTACATATAGAGATGCAAAATGGGTCAGAGCCCATGGGCTAGCTACAATGTGGATGAGGCCCACACAACTTGTCCAGTCAAGATAAAAGAAATATACCTATACCGCTATGCACGAGTGCCTGTAGAAGGCCAACCCGAGCTTGGCAGCTGAGCTAAGTGAAGGACATCGACATGGATGACCTCGTTGAACCTGTAGAGTTGGGCCTTCAGCCCTTCATTTGTTTCCATTCACTCTTATGCCGGAATCCTCCAAGCCCAATGCCTTGGTTATTTTCCAAAGCCCATTCGTGACAGGCCCTAAGAGCCAGACCATCGCACATAGTACTTTGAGGATGGAAAATGTAATCTCATTTTGTACCATTGATGACATACTTATCTCACTTAGCAAAAACCCAAGTCAAGTCTATTTTGTGAATCAAATTATGATGCGATGTATTGACATCATTTGTCGTCCATTGCCAAAGGACCTAAAAGAGTCCAACAATGGTTTGGTTTTGAGCACACTGCACATAATGAACTAAATCAAAATGACACATTAAACTTCCATTGCTTCTTACTTCCTACGAAATGTGGGAAAGTAAATGCAATAATGCATCTAGGGTCTAACGGAAACTCTCTCTAGACTGCATTCTAGACCCAAAGCAATTGGGATTATACTGGGTCGTCGTCCATAAAAAGGAGCCCTTACACTATATTTCAGCGCAAAATATGCATCCAACCCACGAAAATGCTATTCATGCATGCATATTCAATAGATAATAAAAAGTGAAGAATAAGACTAGCACATCAGATACCTCCTGATGAAGAAGTCCATTCCAACCACCACCCAACCCTCCAGCACCGGGAACATTTGACATAAGATTTGTGGAAGCCATAGGACTAGGGCTCCTATGTCTCAACCTATCCAGTTCCCCAAAACCTTGGCTCGGCAGCCTTCCAGAGAGCCTCAGGATCTCTGGGGAAAAATGATTAGAAGAAAAAAAGTAAAAGTTAAGATAATATGTAAAGAATCTTTTCAAGAGAATGCATTACAAAAAAGGTGCCAGTTACCATATGTTGTTCGATAAATCTTTTCAAAAGCTTATGATAGAATGTTGTAATAGAGACACTCTCAAATTACTAACCACCCAAGCCTTTCAAAGGCTAAACTATTAGCATTCCACACACAAATAACAGGCATAGTTTCAATTCACATAAATGAATGACAAAATCTATAAAATGCCATCTTAGAAGAGGCCATCCAATCAAAATCTCTGTATAAAATACCATCACTTTCAAAGTACACAAAAGTATTTTGTTGCAGACATGTTGCAAATCCAGTTAGCAACACAAAAAACAGAGATTGAACAACAACTAGCACTTTGCCCCATATTCACCAGGAATGCCATTTTAATCCATCGAAGGCACAGCAAGTAAATAAATTATAACAGACTGGGGTTAAAAACTTGAACCCCAGATATTCATCAGCGAAAAATATATCGCCTCTGGATCGGGGTTAACAAAAAACGTTAACAATCAATGCGCAAACTGCAGTTAAACCCAGAAAAAATAGATCGAAAACAAGGAGGAGCCTATAAAATGTCACCTTGACTCAAAAGCCTGGTACATATTGGGAGAACTTGAGTGAAAGGTCCAAGCTTTTGATGCTCCGCCAGCAGCTCTGACAAGTACTGATTACTAAGAAAAATTTCCACCCACAAAAAAAGAATCAAGACCCACATAACATAGCACATCAACAGCCAGAAATCCAATCCAAGAAATGGAAGATACCTCTTGGTAGCAGTAGAAAATTATATATAAAGCAAAAAACTTTATAAAACAAGAAAACAGAAACTTCAAAAAAATCGAGATCATACCTGTCGACATCANCGGGGTTAACAAAAAACGTTAACAATCAATGCGCAAACTGCAGTTAAACCCAGAAAAAATAGATCGAAAACAAGGAGGAGCCTATAAAATGTCACCTTGACTCAAAAGCCTGGTACATATTGGGAGAACTTGAGTGAAAGGTCCAAGCTTTTGATGCTCCGCCAGCAGCTCTGACAAGTACTGATTACTAAGAAAAATTTCCACCCACAAAAAAAGAATCAAGACCCACATAACATAGCACATCAACAGCCAGAAATCCAATCCAAGAAATGGAAGATACCTCTTGGTAGCAGTAGAAAATTATATATAAAGCAAAAAACTTTATAAAACAAGAAAACAGAAACTTCAAAAAAATCGAGATCATACCTGTCGACATCAAGGGCATTCCTAATCTGTGGAGACACAGATCTTGCAGGAGAAAAGTTCAGATTATATCCTGACATGGCTTTTACAAAGCACCGATTAGGGTTTAGCCGCCGCAGAAGCAGCAGCTAAAGAAAAAATATGATTAAAAAAAATCATAAAACGAAGGAAAAGGAGAGAGAGAAGAGAGAGACAGAGTGGAACCACCCTTGAAAAGGGTTTAAATAAAAAAGGGCAGAGAGAGGGTCTGTGAAATCATAAAAAGGAAGCAAAAATCTCTTCTTTTCTGACGGTTAAAATTGTATAAATAATTATTAATAATAATACTAATTATTGTCGTATATTCCTAAAATAATACACAGTATATATATGATTGGGTACAAGAATATACTCCAACTAGACTAGAAGAAAAATACAGTATTCCCCAATCATCGCTGAGCTGGACTCCCGACCGTCTTTCTTTAACAGTAGAGTATGGGATGTAACTGCTTTTGGCGGAAAAGAGTGCTGGCAGCCGCTGTGAAGCCAAGTGGCGGCGGTGGAGGCAGATAAACCAGTGTTTTCGGCTGATCGGGCCATGCCGGAATGCTCTGTTACTCATCAAGCTCTGTTACTCATTAAGGGACTCTCTAGAGAAATAGGTGCACATTGTTCCAAACCATTCCGAGGTGACCGTTGGATATTCAACCCGTCGCGGAACCCGGCGAAATGGACGAGCTGCCGTCCATTGTGACGGTCCGTCGCGCCAGATCGAATTTAATTTTTTTTTAAAAATTTTTTAGTCTCCATTGTACCGGCCGTCCATTGCAACAGGCCGCGGCACGGTTCGGGTCGGTTCGGGTCAGTTCGGTTCTGGGTTTATTTCGGTTTGACTTGTTTTTTGTTTCGGTTCAGTTTCGTTTCGAGTTTGTATCGGTTCGGGTTTATATCGGATCGCGTTTATATCGATTCGGGTTTGTATCGGTTTGGGTTTGTATCGTTTCGGGTTTGTATCGTTTTAGGTAGTTTATATTAGTTCAGGTATATTTTAAATATATACTAATAAATCAATAATATAACATAATAAATTTAGTCAATTTATGATATACTCCGTAGTTATTTTATTATTTAACATGGACGTACATAAAAAATAACACTTACATAATTGATTAATTGTTAACATTCTAAAGTTTTCCCTCCTAAATTTTTCGGCACAACCTTTTAAGTTAACGTTCTACTTCGTACTTCCTCTATTTCTATTTAACTATCCATTTCACTTTGTGTGTCAAATATTTGAATAAGTATATATAAAGATATATAATGAATTAAAATATATAGAGTAAAAGTTATTACCAAATTGTTAGTAATAAAAAAAACTTTAAGTGTATTATTTTTAAATATTTTTTCTAATATTTTTGAAGAGACGATATTGGTCAAACTTTAAAATCGAAGACAATAAAATACAAAAATACTTTAACTTAAGTTATAAAACACGGAGGAGAAGATTTGTACATGAAAGTAGTTGCACGGTTTGCACCTATAATTTAAATATATTTTCTTAGAAACACACCAACATATGTAAAAATATATCAGTAATTCCTTTTTCTCTAAGTTCATTTGATAAATGAAATATTAATAGATTTGATCAATTTCGAGTTTAATCGGTTCCGGGTTTAATTAATCGGTTTCGGGTTTAACCGGTTTGGGTTTAATCAGTTCGGGTTAAATCGGATTTGGATCTAAATCGGGTCTGAATACATTCAGTTTGGTTTCGGTTCGGTTCGGATCATTTCGGGTGTTCGGTTCTATTTCGGTTCTTCAGTTTTCGGGTCAATTCGGGTTTGGTTTCGGATTATTCGGTTCGGGTTATCGGGTCCGGGTCAGTTTTGCCAGGTCTACTCTTGATGAACCTAAAATCATAAACCTTCGAATTATTGTTAAAACTTCAAATTAATGATATATAAATGATATATGAATGTTAGAGAATATTTTTGCATGGTTTAATTGAACTTTGGTAGCCTAAAATGGTGTTTTCAAAAATTAGAACGAGGTTGAAGATGACCAATTACAGAATGGTCGACCGTCACGCAACCAGTTTGCATTCCGGTTCGTTACCGGAAAGGTCAACCACCAATGGTAACAGTCCATGGTTCCAAGCCCAGTTACACGGTGGCAGTAATGGTCGACCGTTCGACGATAATGGTTGACCGTCCAACAGCAATGGTCGATCGCCACGAGCTGTTCCAGCACTGAAAAATCTAATTTTGAAGGTATATTGAGTTATTACAAATATGAAACTATTGTGTTAAACTAATGATTAAGGCTATCTAAAATAACTCTAAGATAGACCACATGTGACCAAATTAGTTAGGCTTTGCGGATATGATATCTGTTGGCTCGGGTTAAAACGTACGTACGGGATCCATAAACCAAACTTGAGTATCTATTCATTTGGGGGTACCACCCAATCCGACAGTGAGTAGTCCATTGTTTAGATTACTGCCTTAAATTAGTCATAGTTTAAGCGTCTGGTTATCAATATTAATTTGCCTTAAAATTGATTATAGTTTAAGAGTCTGGTTATTCATTTTGCCTTAAACTAGATTAGTCTAAGAGTATGGTTATTCAGTTTGCCTTAGATTAGGAATAATCTAAGAGTCTTATTATTAATTTGGCCTAAAACTAGAAATAGTTCTAGAGTATTGCAGATAATATCATAAGTGATATTTAATGAATAATGAATATTGAAATGTCTTAACCTATGACAGACTAAGAATCTTGAAATAACGAATATTGAATATTTGAATTGAATAATATGTGTTGATATTATGTAACACTCTAGCTTACCGTCATACATCACATAAGATTTTATTTGTCAAAAAATTCATTTTTATTTCTAAAAATCATATTTATATTGATCATAATTGATTGGTATCAAAAATATGACTTTAGAGCTCCAAAATAGCATTTTCAGAAAAGTATTCGGATCAATAAACTCGGGTGATTGATCCAGGGCTGGTTATCGATCCACCCCCTGTGATCGATCATCTGAAGGTTTTCTGCGAAAAAATTATTGTTCAATCGTCTCCTACCATCGGCCACTTTTCTCCAACTTCATTTTAGGTCACTAAACTTAAATTAAATTATATAGAATTGTTCCCCAAGGTTCATAGATCAATTTAGTATCATTAAATCATAGTTTTAACAACAATTTCAATGTTTATGATTCTTGGTTCTTCAAGCAACCATTTATGAACGTAGATACGATATATACGAACATTCTATCACTAGATATATCTAATGGCTTATCTCGGGCTTAAATGGAGGTTTTCGTAGTTTTTAGGCGAAACTTCCAGCAACAATTGTAACGCCTTGCAACCCAGCCTATTGGAATTAATTAATTATTAATACAGACCAGAGTTGGGAAAAATAAAAATTCTTAGAAAAATTATTTGAAGTTTTGACTGTCTAATTCTAGAAACACAAACAGTTTTCAATTCGGAGCAGTTCGGGAGAAAAAGCGCGTACGGTTCAGGTCAGCTTTATTATGGAGTTGCCTTAGAAACTCCACCCATTTCCCACATGTGTTGCACGCCATTCCCGTCTCTCCTTAGCCTAGGTTTCTTCACCAATCACCTTTATTACAAACACTCCCTCCTCCCATCTTTTCCTTCACTCCTTAATCACTCCACCAAGCAACCATCCAACTCCCCACTCTTCCTTTTCTCTCTTGGTTTGGACGAGCAACAGCAGCCCAGAGACCATGATGTACCTCCGGCGAAGAGAAAGAAGGAGAAGGACGAGAAGAGGAGGAAGAAGGAACAAGAAAGTGCATTTGTTGCCTAAGTTCCTGAGTTCAAACATATCACTCAGCTTGTGGGTAACATTTCGATATTATATCTTCATTATTTCGAACCTCTTTCTACATCAAAGTTGTAGCCCCGTTTCTTACGAATCCAACGCAACAAACGGTTCGCGATTTCATTAAGAAACGAGAGCAATATGACCAAAATACCGGGACTGCGTCAGTGGTGATGAGTCTCTCGGGTTTGGCTAGTATTCTTCCCATAACCATATCATTCCTTTCAAACTACTTGCCATAAACTCTTTAACGGTTACTAAGAACCTTCGGTATCATTGAGAAGATTTGACAAATGAAGCTCGAAGTGATAGAGTAGTCCGTACGTTAAACGTTCGTGGGATGTAGCGTCGTTCGTACCACCTTCGTCAATCAACTGTTCGTTCTAGAGGTGAGTACATTACCCCTCTAGCTTTAGAATTTATAGTTATATCCAATAAAGTTACATTCGTAGAATTACTTGGCATAACCTACGTTGAATTCGAATGATCGTAGTTTTCTCATTATAAAAGATATGTGATATGAAACTCGTTAAAAAGAAATCACCTGCCAACCCCTTAGAATGAATAGGTATTGCATTTATAGATATATTGATCTTGAAGGTTCATTATAATTTTCAAAAGGTTGAACGTAATTAGATAGACCCAAAACAAAACCTGAGTACCGTGATAATCGATTATCAAGTTGTAATAATCGACTATCTAACCTCGCTGAATTTCCTGGGTTTGGCAGCAGAGGCCTTGATAATCGATTATCACCAAGTGATAATCGACTATCAGATGCTGCTAAACTTTGGGCTCAACAACTACCCAAGCTTGATAACGATTATTACCAAGTGATAATCGATTATCACTATTACCAAGTGATAATCGATTATCAGGTGCTGTTGAACTTTGATAATCCATTATCACCAAGTGATAATCGATTATCAGATACTGTTGAACCTTCAGCAAGGTCTAATAATTAAAGTGTTCCAAAGTAAAAACTAATATTTGAATGTTGGTATATGGATTAGAAACCAAGACTTAGTTTTTGAAATAAAGTCTTTGAGGTCATAAGTCACGCATGTTATAGACGCATGATATAGGAATCATTCATATCATGGCATATCCGCTTAAGAGGACAAGCCTAGTGCGCCTCTTATAGCGGACCCGTCCAGGAGCCTTGTGGTCTAACGGGTTTCATTTGGAGGGCTTGTGTACGTACATGGTAACTAGGTTTCAGTTTCTACCCATTATTTCTAGTCTCGTCAAGAGACTAAGGTTTGCCGGAGTCGTCACCATTGTGGGATGACGTCGGAGCGCAGAGGGTCCCCGCATAGTCTAACTCATGCATCATCCATCATGTAGATATTATGAGTTATCCGTACTTTAAGTACATGCATGGAACATTTGGTCAATATGTGAACCATTTGGTCGTTATGAGATTTACGTACTTCAAGTACATGCTTAATTACAACACGTGGTCATTATATGAATTCTGTACGTTCAGTACAGGTATGAACACGTGTGTACCTATATGGACTATTACTATGTTTCTATTGCTAGATTACCACTTAGCTTATGTTAAGCGTATAATGTTGTCTTTGCTATACGCAGGTAGGAATGATGAACTTAGAGCCTATCCAGGAGGGACACGAGAGTGAGGAGATGTACGGACGGCGGAGGTGGTTTTAATATGACTTCCTCAATATTATTAAATTAAATCATTTGGGCTTGAACCCACACTTGACGTATTCTATTTCGTGAACTGGACTTATTTTGGTGGTTTTTGCTTCTACGACCACACCGTTTCACTTACTCCGTATATTTTAAGGGATTCACTTCCCAAGGTCATTATTTATAGCATAACAAGGTCTTTACACACAAACATAATAAGGACCTCACTTAAGAGGATTTTATTAATTAAATTATGGCAAGGGGGTTTTTATCAAATGTTAGGGAATTAATCCCAAGGATTTTATATAAATCCAAATCAAGTCTTTATTTTAAAAGTGTTTTATCAAAGTCTTTATTTGAATTGTCGTTAATGCCATCTCTGTGACTTCTCCGGCCCGTCGAGTCGCGGCGAACCGGGTTCGCGAGTTGGAGGGTGTTACAACGATAACTTCCAACTCCGGCAACGTCTCACCAAATTGAAAGCACCAATGAAATCTCCACACTCATAGTTATCTCTCAAGACTTGTTTGGAGTAAAATGGTGAATAAATGGGAAGTTAGCTCTCCTTATATAGAAGTTGAGGTGAAGAAGAAGACTTAGCTGACTCTGGATTCCAATTTCGCGTTTGATAATGGGCGTAGTGCGCAGGATGGCCAATTTGTAGGATTTCACACGCCGTTCCCTGAATGGGACTAATTTTGGTCCTAGTCGGGGAACACTTTTTGTCCAACTTTCTCCGAATTAAATTACATTTGCACCGTTGCAATCGGACGTTTAAACTCTATCCAATGATATAATTTTTATATTTATTTGTAATACTTTTTCCGAAAACATATTTTTGGTTGTTTGACTTTTACAGAGTCAAAATTGATTTAATTGACCTTTATTGAAAAAGGTTCTTACATTCAATTCGTATTATTTATTCTCATGATTTATTTCAATAAATCTTTTCCAAGTTCATATCATAAATAAATTTTTTATTTATTCTTAATTTGGGTCTGTACTTTGGTTCTCAATCAAGATTACACAAATAGTCAACATATTAGATTTATCTCTATGAAATTTATCCCGATTGTGATATTGGATATCAAAACATATTTCATTTCGGCCCAAAGCCCACCGATAATTTATTTTAATCAAAACAAATTTGTTTAATTGAGTAGTATTTCATTAATAATTTTAGAGTGTGTTTTGGGACGTTACATATTAAATGATCTAATATGAACTAAACATTATCAATATTCAATATCATGAATATTAAATATTTGAATTGAATACTATGTGCATGATATCAAATAATTTGATTATGAGTTGAGATTCAATTTATGTGGATGTTCATGCATTAGATATCCTTACTCCGCTTCACCGCTGAGTGCGTAGTATGTTTTATTTGCTACATGCAAGAAAACAAAGAGAATGATGTGACGTATTCCTAGTGGTAGATGGGTCGAGATTGTCGGGAAGGATGTGATGATAGCTTTGAATTAATATTTTAAAAGACATAAGTTAATCATTTCTTATTGTGATGTGACATTTCTATTTACGCTTCCGCAACTTTAAATACTCTGTTACTATTCTGAATAATTTATTATGAAATAAAGTTTGAAAATGTTTGAAACATTTTGAATGTTTACGATTACCAAGTTTATACTTCAGTCCAAAAGGGGCTACAAACCTCGACAGATTGGGGTGTTACAAACTGTGTGACGATGAATGATTGGAACTGCATCTTGCTTGCATGATACCATTAGATTTGGTTGTGAATTGAGATTCTATTTGTGTGTATGTTTGACGCATTAAATATCCTCCTCAGCTTAACCACCAAGCATATAGTATGTTTTATTTGCTACACGCAGTGTGATTTATGTTAAAGATGAAATGTTCCACGAGAAGCAGCAAGATGAATGGGATGTATGGATGTGGGCTCAAACTATTGATAAGTTAAATAGAGTTTTGAACGAATGAATTTTGGTAATGATCAAATAATGATATTTGTTTACGTAAGCTTCTGTACTATTATGAAATCTCTGATAAAATTTGAAAATGTTTTGAAAATGTTTCAGACTATGTCATTTGTAATATAGTTTATAAATTGTTGTTTCCAAAATACTGTTTGTGGATACTGATTTAGTAGCAAACCGACCCGCTAATCCATTGTATTCGGGTTATGCGAGTTGGAGTGTAACCGTATGTAATTCATTTGGGGATTTTAAAATATAATGGATAATTTTATAAATAATCTGGTTAAACGGAGAAATGAAAAAACTAGCTTAAAATTAAGTAGCTAGTACCTACTTATTTTTCCTAGCTTATAAGCACAGAGAAAAACGTCATCAGCAGACTTATAAATGAAAAATATCTTTAAACTAGTTTTGACTAGCTTATAAACACAAAGAAACTGTTAACATATAAAAAAAATTAGAATATAAAAATCATTTTTGGGCCACAACGACCAGCTTGAGCTTTTGGTTGAGTTGGTTGTTCATTTGATATTCAATACTCGGCAGAAATCACATTGTGTTAAAATCCGTAGGGACCATTGCATTGATTTGTTTTAATTAAACAATCAGATATCCCTTGTCTGTACCAGTTTAGAGTTGTTTTTTCATTTGACTTTCAGTACTGGGCAGAAATCACATTGCGTTAACATCTGCAAGGCCATCAGAGTGCTTTGTTTTAACGAAAGACTCCTATCCCCCTTTGACATTCAGAACACTAGGAGAAATCACATTTTGTTAACGTCCACAAGGATCATTGCAATGCTGTGTTTGAATTAAGCAATCAGATTCCCCTTGTCTATACCAATTTTGAGTTGGTTTTTCATTTCGCAATGCTTTGTTTTAATTAAAGAGTCGGATTCCCCTCATACATTCAGAGCCCTATGCAGAAATCACATTGCATTAACATTCATAGGGACCATTGCAATGCTTTGTTTTAGTTAAACACTTAGATTCCCCTTTGATATGTAGAGCACTAGACAGAAATCACTTCATGTTAACATCTGCAGTGACCATCACAATGCTTTGTTTTAATTAAACACTCAAACTCCTCTTTGACATTCAGAGCATTGGATAGAAATCAAATTGTGTTAACATCCGCAAAGACCATCACAATGCTTTGTTTTATATAAACAGACGAATCCCCCTTGTCCGTACTTTGACACTCAAAGCATTGAGCAGGAATCACATTGCATTAACATCTGCGGGGACCATCACAATGTTTGTAGTCTTGGCCAGGATAAGTTTTTTTATATTCTAATAGAAACACCATCAAAAGTTCTACAAAACAAGTAATGACAATGTTATTTTATTTTATCAAATGATCGATGAAAAAGTATAAAATATAAATTTTATTTTACCGGTGAATAATATCTAAAAGTATTTTTTTGGGACAAAAAAGTATTACTCATAAGTTTGTTACTCAAATAAAAAAGAACGTCATAGCATACAACTCAATACACCACTAACACATGAGGTCTTAAGCTCTTTAGAATCAGCCTTATTAATTATTTTAACAAAAAAGATGAATCTCATCCATGAGGATCTCAAGTATCGTCTAGATTAGTAAAATTAGAAGAAGTAAATTAAACTATAACTTCATATTAATCGTCAAGAAGTGAGATCTGTTCTCAATACATGCAAGAATTCAATGCATAATATAATCATTCTTTGTCACCGTTGTCAAGACCTGAAACCAGGTGTTACCCTGTTTATGTTTTCTTTCGATAAGCTGAGCCATATCGTGAGTAATGTGTTGGGTTAACTAGTATAAGACTCGGTTTGGTACACAAATCAAATTATGAGATTAGAGTTGTGGACTACAAATCCAATTCTGCTATTTAGTAGCACAAAAATATATGAAGTTGGAATTAGTAGTGCAAAAAGTGAATACGAATTATAGAATTCGTTTCCATGGAATTTTAACTCTTAATTCGATTCTAATTCAGTCAATTTCGTATACCAAACGGACACTAAAAAACTAACTTACAAGATCAACAAGTTTTAGATAAATATGCGAAGCCCAATGTTTTTAGGCCCAATGTGAGTTGAAACTCTAAAAAGCATCTTCTTCATTGTTTGTCAGGTCTGCACTCTTTACAGAATAGAGGGAGGAAAGCGAAGGCTGAAGAAATGGCGCTTGCTTGGTTGGAGGCGGTTCTGCCTTTGGGAATCATTGCCGGCATGCTCTGCATTGCAGGAAACGTCCAATATTTTGTCCACAAAGCCTACCATGGCCGGGTACATTTCTTCTTCGATGGAAGCTCTTTCCTTTGAATTCATTTATTTTTCTTGATTCGCTTATTTCTTTTTTTTTCCTGCTGGATTGTGTGATTCGGTAACGTTACAGCCTAAGCACATAGGAAATGATGTTTGGGATGTAGCGATGGAAAGGCGTGACAAGAAGCTCATGGAGATCCTCTCTGCTGCTCCTTCCTCTGATTAGCTTCGTTTGCTGTTCCGGTCTGGTAATTTGTTTCTTTTCCCTAATCTATCTTATCTTTTACTACTGATATGTGTTTATTGGATGCAAAGGAGGATGAATTTCGACTTCTTTTTTATGTGGTCAAAGTTTAGGGTTTGATTTGATTTTACTTGAAACCAGATCTGTTTCTATTAAGCTGGTTTTGTGGAGGATGGTCTGTGTACTATTAATCCAATATCAGGCAGCAATGAGTAAAGGCATTGATGCAATGGCTCAATTTTGAATGAAGTGTTGTAGTGTAGTTCTTGTACGATGTAATCATGCTGTTATCAGCTGCAAAATGTTAAGATTAGGTGAATTGAACGGGAAAAATGTTTGACCATGGAAAATTTACCCATATACTACTATAGTATTTTACTCGGTGTTGGAACAATTGGCACATAACACACACAAATGTACTTTGGTTTTAGTACATCCAACATTTGCAAATGAGATTTTTTCAAAAGAGAAATGATTGTTCTTCAAATTCAAATGAGCATTCTGCACATTGGAATGAGCATTCTGCAAATTCGAATGAGCTTTCTTTCTAAAAAGGAAAATGAGTAGAATAAAAAATATAAACACGAAAAATACTCAAGGAAATGAACATTCTTTAGAGGAATAATGATCATATCATCAATGAGTAAAGGCAATGAGGACTAATGATCATATCTATTAAGCAGGTTTTGTGGAGGATGATCTGTGTACTATTAATCCAATATCAGGCAGCAATGAGTAAAGGCATTGATGCAATGGCTCAATTTTGAATGAAGTGTTGTAGTGTAGTTCTTGTAGGATGTAATCATGCTATTAGCTGCAAAATGTACAAATTAGGTGAATTGAATGGGAAAAATGGTTGACAATGGAAAATTCACCCACATGCTCCGACCTTAAATTTTGTAAATAACTGTAGTATTGTACCTGGTGCTAGAAGAATAGGCATATGATCCACAAAGATGTACTTTGATGATAGTAATTCAAACATTTGTAAATCAGAATTTTTCAAAAGCAAATTGGGTATTTTTCATATCCGAATGAGCTTTCTAACTTAGGAAGAAAAAGAGTAGATTAAAAAATATAAACATAAAAAATACTTAAGGAAACGAACATTCTTTAGAGGAATAATGATCATATCATCAAAGTTTGACAAAAATATCATTCGGTGTATGCACACCCGGATGTACAATTTAATTTATAGTGCTAGGACTGCTAGAAGGGTTCTCTCCTTGCAAGGGTATGGGGAAGGATCGAAGGACAGAAGGTCATTGCATATGCTTCTCCCTTGTTTATGCAAAGAGGTTGTTTCTGTATTAAAACCTGTAACAATCCAGGATTCTGGACATAAATGAGCAAAACTAATGTTGCATGAAGGCTCACTATTTGTGAAAATTAATGTATCATTCAAACTGTGTTGTCGGTTGTCCCTTGGAAACAGTCTCCCTACTTTTTAGTGGGGGTAAGGTATGCGTACACCCCCCCCCTCAAACCCTCCTCTCGAGGGATTCAACTTGGTTGTTGTTGTTGGTTTTGTGTAAACTTCAAACTTCAAAGTCCAATGGAAATTTTCCGTTAATAACATGTCACACTGGCATCCTTTTTAGTTTTGCAACTTTGAAGTGTCTTGTTGCAGATAGGAGATAGGTTCACCAATATCATCACCATTGTGGTGAAACATTAATGAGATCTGCCACACCATATAATGTGACAAGTATGCCATCTTTTATCACTTTCTTAGAAGATCTTTCAATTTGAGTGTGAGGTAAAGTGGTAAACAACTTTAAATTTTTGAAATGTTCTTTTGCTTAAAATTTGGACTGCTTGGTGCTGATTTCTTAAACCGTACTACCCTAGGTATAAGAATATCGTACAACTATTTTTCAACTAATACTTACGTATTCACTATTTAGAAACAATTTACTCACCTAACAAAAACTATTGCTCAGTGACCACAAATAAGTTGCTCCCTAATTGCAATACTATTACACACTAAAGAAAAGTTATATGCTCAAAATACAGAAAAAATTGATCACTCTAATTCGTAGTGGAAGTACAAATGAGTATCTTGTACCTATGATTGTAGGATAGAATTTCAAGTAGTGATATGCTTAGCTTATGGAGTTTATTGATCATATCTTTGACACAATTTGTTTCAATTATTCTGGAGAGGATGTACATTCTTAAAAAGGGACTGTGTTGGCAATGAGTTTGTTCTTGACTGCGTACATATCTTGGTAAACAAGAAGTTACTATTTTTTATTGAAGGACAAAAAAGCTAACTGCTTCATTTAGTGTGCATTGAAGAAGGTTGACGTATGGAGTCATATAATAAACATTTTCCATAGACAGAGCTGTCAAATTTGCAAATTTTAGGTGATTTTGGATGGATGGCAATTGAGAATTGCTCTAGGTGAAATTTCACCTACCCCATACCCACTTCTGCTACCCACATCTATAATAAGTTCTAAACAATTTATGATTGATATTTAGGCCCACTTCCACCAAGGCTTTTTTTTGTTTTGTTTCTTTTTCACCTACATAGCCTTTTTCAACTTTGCGTCGTGCTATGTACTCTTTCCACTTCTAAATAAGTGTCACACGTGCACTACAAGAACACAAAAACAACCCTTAGGACTTGCTCTCTGAATTTTTTATATGAATTTTTTTACAATTTTGTCCAATCAGATTCTGTTTGATCTGAAATGTTTCTAATCTTGTTTAACTTTCTCGTACGATTTTTTTACATATGTTATGGCCTGGTCCTCTTTTATCAGGCCAGATATGATCAGGTCTGATGGACTTGAATGCTTTTTGGTTTGGTCTGGTCTTGTCTGAGTAAAATAAATCAGAAATAAGTATAAAAAAACTGAACATAACAACACCATAAACTCAATTCATGGGGATCTAGTTCCTGAACCAATAGGAAATATTTCAACATCATCCATTGACTTTTTTTCCTTTCTTTTCTCTCACGCAGCATAAGCTCATTAATCCCCAATGCTGCAATGTCCTTTACACCCTCAATCCAAGTCATTTTTGATCTATTTCGATTTTTCTTTTCCTCTTTAAGCCTCGCACAGTTTTAGACTCCACTCTTCATATTGAGGTACTTCTCGGCAACTGACAAGCCTGAACCAACGAATTGGTTCTCCTTAATTTAACTCCAATAGCAGCTACATAACCTTCCTGTAAATTTTTTCGCTGTGCACTCTATCTTTTCTAGTGTTACCATACATCCACCATTTTACATGCATCTCCTCACTCAAGTTATTTTAGTGCTATTGACTCTATTACAATGTAGTATCTCTTCATACTTTTCTCAACCTAATGACGCACAAAGAGGTTCCCCATGAATTCTGGGGTATGGGCTTCCTACCACACAAGCCCAGGGAGAAGTTCTCCCTCAAGTTATTTATCAAAACTTTCTTCATTGCCCACCATTCAGGTCCATAGAAGGCAAGATCGATATGAATATTCAAATATGTCTTTCTACTATATCACAATAGCTTTCATAATTTATTTTTGTTTTAGGTGAATAAGGGTAAATGATGAGCAAACTAATTAATTTTTTATCAAATTCTAAATGATTCTCATTTTAAAAATATGTTCGCTCTGTCCAAAAAAAAGGTTTTGGGTTTGATCCGGCATGCTTATTAAGAAATGTCAGTTTTTTGTGTCCGAAATTGTGTATGTGTTTGAGAGAGAGAGAGAGAGTGTCTGTGTAATGAGCACCAATGTGACACTTGTTGTTCAAGACAAAGATTCCTAGTAGCTTAGCTCATACACACTTCATATGGTCATTAACCAGAAAGCTGTGCTGTTTCGAGTAGGGTAAGATCTGTGTACACACACATCCCAGACCCCACTTTTGTGGGATCCAACTGAATTTTTGTTGTTGTTCTATAGTGTGATATCGATAGATTCTTTAAGGATTATCTTTTGTGTGTTTATGCTCTATAATGACATTTAATTGTTGTGACTTATTCCTCAAAATTACCATCGCATGCAAGGCAGCGTACTATCAAGTCTTCATTTCTTACAATCTCTTACGTGTAAAGCCAGCATGTTCTCGTGCAAAATCATCAACATCATCATGGTTAGGTTAAACAAAAGATTATCGATAAGATTTGATGGTCAGTTTTAAGAATATGTTTTACATCAATCCCAAGTTGAATACGATGCAAACACGTTGAAACCTAAGATAAAAGCGTTTTTGTCTGCAGTTGTTTGCTTCATAGAAACTTACATTTCTCTTATGATCTCACAGGCAGCGTTACCAGCGTGCGTGGAAACAAAAATGCGCTTTGCCATTCTCAATTGCTGAAATTGCTGTGATGTATTTTGTTTTTCCTTTTGTTTTGTGATTTGGTTTGTGCTGTTGAGCATTGTAACAAAATGGTCATGACAATCCATCTTGAAAGATGTCCTAAAACATTAACTGCACCTTTTTTTTAAATAAAAAATAATTACCAAAAAGCCCCTCATGTCTCTTCTCTTTCAGTAAATGTAGTGATACAATCACTCCTGTTATATTTTGGTTTATAGTTCATCATCCAAAGAGTCATGCATTTGTTATGGGTGGCAAGTGAGAAGAATTGATTAGAATAAGAACACAAGTAAAATCCCCCCCACAGTAAAGTTCATTTATTAATTGAAGTTATTTATTTACCGCATGCTTATGTAGGTAGGCAATAGGACAAATTAGAGAGTTCCTCTCTCAGGACAGGGACCCACCTGAAATATCAATGTCGTTTCCTCCTGTGGTGGCTACTTGACATAAATTCTGTTTTCTTCTTAGCAAAACTCCCATAACGACTGCAAAGATGGTACTTTAGAAGAAGCCGGGATGAGATGACGAGTCAAAGACATTTATGGCATCCATGTGAGTTAAGATGACAAACTAAATGTGCTTGTCACATTAGAATCGCCCGAATTCCGAAATGAGTGCTACCAATTGTCAAGTTACTATTCACACCCGAATTCGTAATTGTCAAGTTACTATTCACACCTGAATTTTGAAAAGAACGTTATCGATTGTCAAGTTACTATTTGTGTTTCTAAATCACATTGGTTTCTATGACATTGGGAACCAATGTTAAGGGATGACTCGAGGGTGCTCCAATGTCTCGTTCGTAAAATTGATGGTTCCTACCCCCTAACCCCCCCACCCCGCCCCGACCCGAACATGCCCCCCACCCCTTTCAATTGCACTCCCAAGTTAATTTTGACTTTGGAGTCAAATTTTGACTCCAAAGTCAAAATTAACTTGGGGGTGCAATTGAAGGGGGGGGGGGCATGTTCGGGTCGGGGCGAGGTGGAGGGGTTTACTGGGGAGGTTAGGGGGGTAGGAATCATCAATTTTACGAACGGAGCATCGGAGTACCCTCAGGTCATCCCATGACATTGGTTACCATTGTCATGGGAACCAACCTCTTTCTAAATTTTGGAGTAAGAAATGTTTGTGGCCAATCATCTCACTATCTTCTTGAGCTTCTACACAAGTTGATTGAGGAATGAGAGATATTGGGAAACGGGGTTGTGCAATGGTAAGAAGTTAAGAACTAAGAACACATTTCTCCAAAAAAAAAAAAAAGAACTAAGAACACCAACTTATTTGTCACTTCCAAGTTGCCACATGATCATAATTTCACGATTGTGACTAGACAAGGATTGTGAGTTTTCCAAGTTCCTATTAATGTGCACACAAAATAATCATGTACGGGAGAGACTAGTAGACCTGGCAAATCGGTCGGTCAGGTCGGGTTCGAGTTCGGGTTACTTCGGGTTCGGATAAGTTTGGGTTCAGGTTAATAACTACATGTTCATGACCCAGTGTCATCGGGTTCGGGTTGACCCAACGGGTTATGAGTTTCATTTATTTTTGAGTAAATTCCATAAAAGGTCCCCAATTATAGGTCGTTTTACATATTTAGTTCCTACGTATCAAATATTACTAATTTGGTCCCTAATTATTATATTTATTTCTACGAATGGTCCTTTGTTAACATTTTCATTAAAACGTGGATAAAATTATAAATTCACACTCCTTTATCTCCTCAATTAAACTTTCTCCTCCCTTGTACTCCTTTCTCAAACCCGTCGCTGAGTTTCTAGCTTTGAACCCAAAACCAAAATCATCACTCTTCTCTCAATTGTTTGTCTAACTGGAGGAACGATCATTTAAATTTTGGGTTTAAGAGCTTCAAACTCAGCGACGAGTTTGGGAAAGAGTATGAGAAGATGAAGAAAGCTTAATTGAGGAGAGAGAGAAGTATGAATATACAATTTTATCCACGTTCTTAACGGAAATGTTAACAAAGGACCATTCGTGGAAATAAATATAATAATTGGGGACTAAATTAGTAATATTTGATATGTAGGGACTAAATATGTAAAACGACCTATAACTGGGGACCTTTTATATAATTTACTCTTTATTTTTTGAAATTTTAAAAAATTTTTATGACTTAGTGTCAATATTACGAATAAAAAAATTAAAAATGTAGAAATTTTGAGAAAAATGTAAGATACATATTCGACATCATTAAAATTTGTTATGATGGTATAAATCTATGCACAAAAAATGAGTAGTAAGCAAAGAAATATAATTATAATCTTATTTTTATAACACTATATTTCATATTAGAATATATGATTCTGAAGAAATCTTAGATTAGCGGGTCGGTCAGGTCGGGTTCGGGTTCGGTCAGGTTTGACCCATTTTTAGCGGGTCATTTCGGGTTCGGTCAACTTCGAGTTCGGTCAGCAAAACCTTTATTCAATACCCAGTATTTTCGGGTCGGGTCTCGGGTCAAAAACAGGTCGGGTCATTTTTTGTCAGGTCTAGGAGAGAGTATATAAGTTATAAATTAAAGTCATCATCTCACAGCCCTTGAACCAAAGTTTTAGCATTGTGGGTGTTGCATACTTACAAAGGATGCCCAGAGAATCAGGTAGTAATACCCGAATTTAATTCATGGCTCTGAATTTGATTCATGACAATTCCGCTGGAAAACAAACATGTTAAACATAAAGTCTTTGCAACTACTAGATGAAGTGACCGTCTGGCCTGTTCTGAAGGGCCCTCGGAGATGGAATTCCTCCTTTTTTTTAAAAAACTAAAATATCCAAACAGCCCAAACATTCACGCCATGTAGCAATATTCTTGTCTTGCTTTCCTAACGTCCACCACATGGATTGCAATTCATTAATTCATCACACACAACAGATATATGTATCACATACACACAAAAAAAGTACTCTGTAGTAAAATAAAGTCCACACATTGTGAATAACCAGGTAGTAATAACTAACCTGGGGAAAAAAATGCTATATATACTGTATATAAAACATACCTTTAACAATTTGCACAGGGAGAAAATGACAAATTTTATTCCTTCTCAATGGGGTGGGAGGGTAAGAATGATCACAAATATATATAGTCAAACTGGGGAGGTAGTAAAGCCTAAACGCACACCAGAAAACGAATCTGAACAATTTGTGGAAGGCAACAGATGATTATTATGTACACAATAACCCTCTCTGTAATACCCACACGCCACTACCAACCAAAACCTACCTTGATAAATAAAAAAATAATATGAATAAACCAACAAAATGGAGTCAAATAAGAATTCATCTGTGTGAATGAAACTTGAACGTGAAAGGGTGGCAATGATGATGATGTACTTAAGGGACGTATTCGGTCTCCAGTATCGGTTGGGTTCTTGTAACAGCAGCAGCAGGTGCTTTTGTGCTCCCGGCCCTTGCCATATGTAACCCTTCCCCCACCTCGGAAGCCATTTCCATCTCTTGCATCTTCTTCTTCCTTTTGTAACTGCACGCCCACGCCGTAAGAGCACCCAACAAAGCCAAAATCACCAACCCTCCAACGGTGGACCCCACTATGATCCCAACCTTTCTTGTCTTCTTGTGGCCTGGCGGTTGTTTTGCTTGCTCAGGAGGAGCTCCTTCAGGTGGCGGCATTGGTGAAGAAGAAGACATTGGTGCAGGAGAAGGAGCAACGGATTCAACCACAATCGAGAAATGTCCTTGTTTGAAGGTGTTACATATGTTTCCAGAAAACACATTGCTGAAACTAACAGAGCCGTTCAGATCAATTGACACACACTTTGGAATGGATTTACTGGGAACGGACTTCATCTTGGGAAAGGATATAGAGATGGGCTGACCGGTTGCTGTGATATTCAACTCTGGCAAGTTTGTGGCCGACAGGTTTGCCGCATCATAAGCAAGAAGACCAAGAACTGGTGATAAGTAAATGTACCCAGATGATAGAGGGTAACACTTGAGAGACCAATTGCCCAAGTTCTGATAGACTAAGGCAAGCCTTACGACATAAGGGTACCCTATGACACCAACTGGGATCTGAAACTCTTTGAAAGTTATGTTTCTCCTGCGTAAGCTACCACTCCTAAGCCTCAGTGCAGAAACCTTAATCCCTGTCAGATTCGAAGGGACAGTTCCGTCATAAACCACACCAGTCTTGGGACGCGGACCAAATGCATCACGAAAAGCATAGTCTTGGAGAAGTGAATCTAGTGCCCGAGCGGAAGCAGATGGCTGAGTCCTGCCTAATTGTGGCAACCATAAAACCCATATGAGCAGAGCGATCCATTGACCTCCCAGAAGCCCCATCGATACTTCAGAGTATAATCCAATAGCCAGAGAAGTGAAATCTTGACTGGAGCGGATAATTAGTATTGCATCAACTGATGAAGAAGCTTCCCAATCAAGGTTGACCAGCTTTAGGGCTTCAAATTCAGAATGTTCGTAGGAGAATCTGATTCTAAATGCCAAAAAAGAAGAATTCTCAACAGATAATAATTAAAGAGAGGCGATCCAGTGCTTTGAACAGTTGTAAAAGTCGCGAGTTTAGGAACCCTTTTCCCTTTTTGGTGACTGAAAACACCTCAAATCCAGACCCCCTAACCTCATAGCCAGTCGCAGCCGAACCAAAGCTGGGATTAGGGGAGGAGTCCTTCTCAATTCTCTCCTTTCAGAACCCTAAACCCCCCAACCAGATACTGAAACAATGCCGTATATCTCAATATGATCGAGATCCGGAAATCAGAACAGGAGAGTGCTTTTTTACTTTCCTTTTAGATGCAAATTTCACCTCGAAGAAACCCTAGCTCCAAAAGAAGAACCCTAACCTATTTCCGCCGCAATGTGGAACGGAGCCGTGAAGTTGATCAGTCACAAATACAAACACAAAAAGAAAAAGTGGAGTAGCTTTTAGAAGTAAAAGAATAGGCTTTAAATCTTCATTTCCCCACTCGAGTCGTGCATAAAAGAAGGCCAAGA